AAGGAAAGTGAGACGTCACGGGAAGAAGGAAAACACAATAGAAGGAAAAAAACAAAAATGGAAATCAGCTGAGCCTAGTCAGAAATAAAAAAGGGACGAAAAAGAAAGACGGAAAGTGAGAAAATAGGAGAAAAAAGAAGGTCCACCCAGCTTCGCAATTGTGCACCACACAATTTTACTGACTCACATGCAGCACACACACGGATCTATCCCTTTCTCATAAGTTGCAGCGAAATGTTTTATTTTGGAAACATGTTTGTATACCTATAGGAATCTTCAAGATAGCATTACTATGCACTGTTTAAGTTGTAATTTTTGTTGAAGTGGTGTAATGTTCGTGAGGTATTTTTGTCTTTCTGACGGTGCTCGTGTTTCCCAGAATCTAGAAAAATAAACGTGAAACTTGTCTACTAATTGGTCTGACGGTTATTTTCTTGTCATTAAACTACAGAACGAGCCCTTGGCACTCCTCCACCTAAGCTCATTATGTCCTCTGCCCTCTTTGCGTTTAGGTGAATTAAGATTTTGTATTTTGTGTTCCAAGGTAGCGCCACTGTTTTAATACAAGCATTACCAATCACAAGGATTCCGTATCGATGCTCGAGGCTTGTGGGTTCGTACAACGCGTAGTCTTGGGATGATGAGTACTACTGCTGGAAGATTTTCACTTTAATATAAAACCATTACCTCTGTCTTCATCTGCAATGATGACAACTGTTGATATTAGAGAAACAGTTGATACAGCAAAAGGATGAAAATAGAACAATCACGGATAATGCAACCTTCTGTCATGAGTAAAAGGGTGCGAAGCATGTGTGAGGCGCTGGAATGCTGGGACCATGCGCGATGAACCCGACGGTGCCTGACGCGCCACGTTCACGTACGGTCGGATTAAAGCTGGTGGCACGCGACAAAAGCCGTGATGGAACAGCTCGAAGGATGAGCTGTCACTGCCGTGGAGATTAGAGCTGCGAAGGTCAAGAAAGGCCAGTGTCGCTACAGCGACCAAAGCAGTAGGGCCTCCGGGTTCTGAAGGATGTCGGGGTGAGAGACCCGGAACGGGGCTGATACTTCGGAGGCCCCGAGCGAGACTGCCCGGACTTGGCGAGCCTGTCACAACTATTCCTGGGGGGATTAAATCTCTTCCACTTCAATCCAGAACAGATGTAGCCCACACGAGTCATTGCAGTGCGTCATCAATGAGACCACGGGCGAGTTGGGTGTGAAAAAGCGGGCCCTAGATGACGAATCAGACCGGGACCCAGGCAATGAGGACGTGTGGATTGTCCAGCGGATGCTTGCCGACGACGATGATGGTGAGACAGCACCACTTCATCCTAGCTAAGGAAGTGGCATCAGAACAGTAAGAATGTTCCAATATTGCGGGATCACATGACAGTATCCACCGAGACGTTATGTTGTCTAGGAAGAGATTAAGGTAATGACTGATGTTGATTCAGATTGATATTAGTTCCGTTTTCTGTCCATGTTTTCTTTTGGTGTGGATTTGAAGTGTCAAAACGTCTGTCGTGTTGCGGGGCACTAATATGGGTTCGCAATGTTACCACCGACTCACGTCTCCCTCGAATCCAATCCCTTGCAAGTGCTTCCTACAATTATGGTGACGCTTACATGCTTCCCATTTTCTTTTTCGATCTGTTGGTCCGCCATCCACGGGACGGCTCTCAGCTCTCCCGTAGTAGAGTACTAAGCACTCTAAATTGTTAACCACTTTTTCTAAACACATGCTTCCAGTATGGGGACATTTCAGCTGCCACGCTAAACCTCTCTAAATTTCGGTATTTGCTCATCGGCTATCCCAACTCCACACTTAGGTCCACATCTCTTCTTCAGCCGGCTGCGTCTCTTCACATTTTAGGAATTCTATACAACCACTACGACGTTTGTAATTCCGTTTGGTCAAACGCCCTCGATGAAGTAAAACAAGAAATTGAGAACGCCCGGGAATTCGACTTCCCACTTCCTGAGCGGAGGTACCTTGCGCAGACTGTGTTCTGCGGTCGCATTTGGTACCTTTTTCACGTGGAACAGCCGCCTTTACGCATCGTGAGGTCATTGCAGTCTGCCTTGTGTTCCTTCTTTTGGTCTGGTGGCACTGAGTTGGTTGCTCGTGCGGCGTTAGGACAGCAGCGTTCCCAGGGAGGTTTTGCTTTCTTTTCGGTATCAATACGCGGCCGGCCATTGGCCCTGCGATTCTTGTTGCGCCTCGTACAAGGAGAGGAATCCCCCGCCCGAACTCTGGCATATTATTTTCTAGGCACTCACCTTCTGTGTTTATTGCCTTATGTGCACCTTAATCGGGGCCTACAATCAGTAGTCCTTCCTTCGTTTTATGCAACAGCTGTCACGTTTTTTCGCAATACCTAGTCGACTTGCCCTGATTTAGATGTGTTAGACAACCCTATCGTTGACACAACAGCCGCGTTGTTGCTCTCGTTAGTTCCTTCGGCACGCCGCGCCCGCTATAGTCGCGTGTCTTGGAGCACGCTGACGGCATCATTTCTACCTGGCCACCTCCGGGACTTCATGGGGCGGCTTGGGTGGGGCGTCCTTTCTACCCTTGACCGCCTAGAAAGGTGGAGAATGGTCCAGTCAGCAACATGTCCGAACTGCTCCCTACGCCGAAACAAATGAGCATGTTTTAAGACAATGCGTCGTTGCTCGTGTCTTCAGGAGGGCTGTGCATGCAGGATTTCGTGGCCTCGGAGTAAACCGCTTTGTTTCTTCTGGACGTTGTTCTCGAGGCCGCTTTGCGCGCCTTCTCATTGTTGCTGGTGCCTACTGTCTTTGGCGTAACCGTTTTGAAGCTGTGTCAGCAGGTCGTCGCCGCCATGCTCTCTTCCCGAATTTGAAGCGACTGTACAAAGAAATACTATCTGTGTTCTCGGAGGAACTCTTTTTTCTGGGTGAGGAGGAATTCCTTCGACACTGGTACTGCCGTTTTGTGTTCGTCAGACGTGTAAGGCTTGTTTTCAGGCCTGCCTGGTATTGGTAGGTTAATCTTTGTTTAGTACTCATACAAATGCATTGTAAATACTATGTAATTATCTGACATATAGATCTCTACATTTTATTTGTGTGTTCTTCGTTTATCATGTATTTTGCATATGTAGGCATTGTTTTTGTAACAATTCTTGTGTAGTTGTGTATGTTGTGTATGTTGTGTTCCGTTTACATATGTACACATATCTTTTTGTAACAACTTTCGGTGTGTCTGTGGATGTTGTGGTCTGTCGCAATGTTCTGTTGGATTTTAATTGATGTTCACTGTCTGTGAGAATAAATTTCTTCAAACACTTGCTGGTAGGGTAACATTTGTGACCACTATTCCCACGGGTCAGCTTTATGCTCTCCCGTAGTAGAATACCTAGTACTCTCAATCACTACCCACCCTTTCTATACACACATCCCTGTTTTAGAGCGTATTATTTTCTCTAAGTCATCAAAACAAAAAGGCGGTAAGCACGCACTAAGCCGCACAAGGCTTTAAACAGCCAAATTGGGTGATTCTGAAGAGTAATCTTGTTGCTTTTAGCTTCTTTATAGGCTTTGGCTAGGTCATGCAGGTTCTAGGTTGATTCTAGGCGATTGCGAGGCCTCAGCTAGGTGATGCACCGGTGTTTTTGCGGTGATCCTCACCACACAGAGGTCTGAGTCAAGCCTCGGCTAGTCACAGATACATTTTGGTTGTCCAAACTCTGGGGGCAGAAACTTGCGCTGAGATCAAGTGTTCGGGCCCCGTACAGATCTATGCACAGGTCATCGTTGATGTATACCCCTTCCATCACTAAAGGGGAGGAGGGGCTCTCGCAGCCCCCAGTGCCCTCGCCGTTCTTTTGTATTCGGTCGTTGTACATACTCGGAGTCTTCGGCTTGCCGCTGGCATTTTGCAGCCATTTGTTCGGTTCACTGCTGCCTTGTTCACTTTGATGGAACCAGTGTTCCCTAGTGGTTTTTATACAATTTATGTGGCACATACCCATCTGTGAAGGTGACAGTTTTCTGTGATGGACTCAGAAGGAGCGATTTCCTAAACAGCTTCGTTCCTAAAGCGTACACATGTGCATTTCAAGGCTCCTAATAGTTTCGCTTTTTGAAGATCATAGTCTTTCTTTGGGACCTTCGACGCAAAAATTTTGGTCTGTCTGTCTGCCTGCCTGCCTGTCTGTCTGTCTGTCTGTCTGTCTGTCTGTCTGTCTGTCTGTCTGTCTGTCTGTCTGTCTGTCTGTCTGTCTGTCTGTCTGTCTGTCTGTCTGTCTGTCTGTCTGTCTGTCTGTCTGTCTGTCTGTCCACCCTTGACGTATACCGGGTACTCTAAACAGCACCAGCCGATACCATAAACGGCTGACCCCATCCGCAGCGCCCACCAATTTTGTTCAAGATTGAGCGTTCATACTACTTGTACAATTGTCAAATAAAAAGCAATTATTGCGCATATCTGGGGCACCATAACAATACGTATACGTTCTGCATGTGCGTATTTTACTAGAAAAGGCATACATAAGTAATTCTAGGGACCGTAACGTTTATTTCGCTGAGCGTACTATGCAACGCTTGCACGAAAAGGCGAGTGTTTCTAACGCTTTGCTAAGACGACGCGGTGATGGCACATGCTCTACACCTTATCTCCTCTGAGACGGGCGCGTACGCCCGTGTCAGGGCCGCGTGCCTCGTTTTCCAAAAACACCTGCCAGATGGCGCTCATCTATCACGTGTGACGTGACTGATGCGCTCGTTCACCTCCGCTGCACGCTCGAGGCACTCTAACGCAGCGCCTCCAGAATATCATTCACCAATTTTCTTGCGCAGAACATCAAATAAATATTTTGTTCACTATCTCCTCACATAGGACAATCGTCTTTCGATGACATTTGCAGATTAACATGCAGATACGGGGCCAATTGTTTTTTCTAACATGCTCGAGTGGTGTTCAAGCCATTTTGCTCATTTGTATTAAACATATCTTCTATTTTATCTAGGTGGCCGCATCGCTTGCTTTGACAAAGCTACAAAAGCAAATTTCAAAGAACGTAGAGCACTTCCGGTGGACGGAATTTAAAAACCCACTGACAAAAAGAATTTTCGAGAAATTGGCTGGCATTGGTGCTTCAGCACTGTCCCACGAAAAGGAAGACGAGGTAAGTACACGTACGCAACCACAAATCACTGTTCTCCCAAAGTAGAGAACAGTGAATACTGGAATGCACTATGCATCTTTCTGACTACAAATCAGTATGTCACGCCAAGGAACTTTCTGTTTTTATGTCTAAAAATAGTTTCATTGCAGCAAATGTTTTTTTCTGAAATGGTTTTTTTTTGCATTTCTCATTGTTGAAAGGTCACCATTTGTTAGCAATGTAATTTGTTTCTTGATTTGAATTTTCTCCCATTCGAAAAAAATTTTTATGTCAACGAAACAGGAATTGTCTGAAATTCTTACAAAGCAGATGCGCAGAGAAACATGCGAGCTTGAAGTGATGAAACATTACAGAACAGGCGAATTTGCCAAAGCCGACGTTTCGCCATGAGAGCTTTGTTTTTCAGACAAGCCTCAAAACCACGTCAAGGTGACCACTACAATACAATTAAAGCCGCACATTTAACGTTCAGTATGCCTTGGTTGGTTTCATTATCTTTTATGGCGGTGTAAACCCTTAATCACAAAAGGAAGGCCTTAAATGTTTCTTCTTACAGGGCCCCTAAACCACACCGACTTTGAAGGAGACACGATAGTTTATTCCTCGCGTTTCACTAGCCTCCCTACAAGCCCTCTCTTCTCCTCGCTGTTTATTATTTCATAAAACGCGTGGCATATCAGCATCAAGCGCTGAGCCAGTGAGGATTTCCCTCTTTTAGACCACACGCTATCTGCTCTAGCACTGTCGCAAACGCAGAAAACGAAACGAAATCAGTTTATCGTGCACAATAGCCAAGCCATGCAAGGCAGGATGAGCATGAGATTGCATGAGGGAAAAAGTATGTGACAATTCACAACCGATATATGTCGTATACCAGCCAATTAATAGCTACATTCATTCTGACGTCACAGGAGCTGACGTCATGAATTGAGCCGCACGGACGGGAAACCCCGATTAACGATAACGCACGGGGTTTGGTACCTTTAAAGGTTGTTTGGGAGCCATTTAGGGTCACAGTGAGGCACACAGAAAACCAAAAAAGGGGCACAAAGAAGGGCAAGGGCACCAGCCTTCGCCAAGGCATCAACAACGTTTCATATCCGCCTGTTTATGTACACCTTGGTCATTTTTTCCGAACATCAGAGGTGAGGAAAGTAATAAAAGGGTGATCACAGCTGATGATAAGTCAAAGGACAGAGATCAACCAAAGCGAACGCTGACTTCCAACTAAAATTTATCGTGATAAATAGCCAAGTTTTGAAACACGACAGTGTGCGATAAAGACCTACAGCATGTGATAACCGCGGTAACGTGATGCGTTGTCCTAATCACTGTTTAAATATAGTACCAACCAGCTCGTACTGACACCTTGCATCGCGAAGATACAGCTTAAACACAAAGGATGCATACGTAAATGAGGGCTAATGAGATTAAGAGGTGCGCTTGGCAAGTTTGGCGTTGGCATAGCACAATAAGAGCTCAATAGAAAGAAAATAGCAGAAATAGGGAATGTGGGTTTCGATCTGTTTGGTATGCGAGGCTAGGTGGCATGGCGACAGGCTATGGTCAGACTTGCGAAAATGCGGGCACTGAATGCAATGAACCAGTTGCGGAATCAAGTCAAGTATCAGAACACTTGCTCCAGGAAGAATTCCAGATATAAGCAATTCAATATAACTCCAAAGGATGACTTTTTCTTGTTGTTAGTACCTTATTAAAATCACATAATTAAAAATAAATACGTATACAGCATGGTATTTCTAATGTGATATTGACGTACCTACTGGATGACCTTTCTCAAGCATTTCATCGCATTCTTTTACGTCAGATGACAAAGCTTATCGCCGAGATGCAGGAACACCATGCTTCAGCAAAAATTTGTCCTCGGTTCAGCTATCCTTATCAGCAATGCCATTTATCTCTGGATCCAGGTAAGCTTACCAAGCTTTTTGATTCCTCTATAAAAAAGTCGTCATTCCTTCATGGCGCACATCATGGTGTTGTGCTCCTATGTGATAATAGCGCGCTCATTTTGTTGTTGTGTGAATCGCATTTTAGAGATCATAAACACGATGAGAACGTCGAGGGATTACTGCGAACTGCTTCATTATTGGAATGAATGGCGTCGAATTGCTGGAAAGCCCATGCAGCACAAATTCCTTCGTTATGTTCAACTGCAGAATGAAGCTGCCATACTGAGTGGTGAGCCACATGTTCTTTGAACGTTTTCTAACACCTGCCTTCAATGTGTCACAATAGCGAGGCATGCACATGCTATTCCTCTCACACCCAGCCTTGAATACATTTGTTGGTAGTCTCACTGTCTTTCATTGAATTTCACTGAGCCGACTTAACGAATATACCCACGCGAAGTCACTGATAGACGCAAAAACGAACATACATCTACAAAGTTACCTTGCGTATGCAGTTCCACCGTTTGCATCCTCGTACACTTCGCATTAAACATGTCTTAAGGGGCTAGTCGGTGGATTGAACCGATATTTTGGCAAGAAATACGCAAAGATCAGAGCCATACCGCATGCTGGTTTTTGAGCTCTAATGCAACGAAGAACGGAAGCACATGCAGACAGGCCTTTTATTTTAGCTATATTTTGCCAGGCACAAGGACTATGCTTCGTACCTACATGACCTATATTTTTAACATTTCGTTAATTTTTCCATTTATAATTTTGGTTATTCAGTCAGTTAGCCAGTCAGGTTATTGCTTTCTAAGCCAGTAATAAGCTTAATGTCAAGTTACACTAAATTAATTAGGCGTCGCTTGAAACGGCAGCTACGTTGTTGCAAGTCTTTGTAGTTTTACGCTCACCAATTGATAAAACAATCTTCATGAGGTCGGATCTAGCACTCATCATTGTTCACGAACACTGCAATACCTGCCACAATGAGTAACTGATGCTTGGTTCAGCACTTCTTCATCGATGCATAAGGGTGTAACACTTTTATATTTATTTTCTGTATAGTAATATCTCATTTAGGAAATCTTGAGCGCTGCTGTACTTCTCTTTCAGGTTTACACGATGCCAGTGTCACGTGGATTGGTTCGTATGAAGACGACCACTTTGAACACAAACTGGCGCAAATATGGGAACAGATCAAGCCTCTCTACGTGCACCTCCACGCTTACGTGCGCTCGAAGTTACGTGACGTGTACGGCTGGCAACGAGTTTCGAAGTTCGGTCCCATTCCTGCTCACCTGTTTGGTAAGTCCACGTTGCAAATATAGAGAATAAAATCACCCCTTGTGCACTGTGGAACATTCACCGACCGCAATTAAGACTACATAGTTTCTGATGTTTTATCTGACAGAGCCACAACTTGATGATCAGGCACAGCATTGTGGAGGGCTGCAGAAAGATGCTTTTTTTTTCAATTTGCAAAAGAGCCAAATTCACAAACTGAAACTGGGCTAAACTTTACGGCAACGTAAAGCAAACCTAATTGTCTTCAATTTATTGAACAGTTCAAATCAAATTGGTGTAATTCCTCATTGTAAGTTGAACTAAGAAAGGCAGTTTCTAATAAAAAATTGCACATCTCGCACTTAAGGAAACCATGTGCACATGCGAAGCAGCGGAGATATTTTTAGCTTGAGCGGGAGACGGTGTACTTTATGAGCTTGTGCTGGCGCTAACACTGATACTGGCGGTGGCGTCAATGCTGGCGCTCTTCGCGGCTTTGTGTGGAAGAGGGGGAGGTGCGCGTGCTTCGTGATTTTATACAGCGGAACTACAATGGCGCCCCCAGCAGAGTATGCAATCGTCGCACCATGCACCTGTCGTGCGGGCCAGTCCATAGAGAAGAAGATTCCTAGAGGAGAAAGTCTGTTCACTCGATGTGCGCCTGAAAGTTGGGAGTGGTGGACAGGGTGAAGCTAGAAAGATGACACGCGTTGAGCGGCATAAGGCTAGAGAGAGAGTGACGTCAACGTGCGCGCACTACGAGAGAAGGCATGATCAACTTGGCACCGCCCCAACACCTGTAGCTGTGGAAGCGTGGTGTGGACCTAGGGCCAGCGTTACACAGGCTAGTCATAAAGCTGCTTCATATCTACCTTACACCAGATACTCAACACTCTCTAACTAGCCCAACAATAAGCTTTATTGACCTATAAAACTTTGCGACATTCACTAAACGAACACTTGTGCAACAATTGATACCAAAAAAATGAACATGGTCTCATTCAAAAGCTTGAATGTGTGTCCTAGTTGCTTCCTTATTGTGCTTACATTCAACAATTACTTTTTTAGAATCTGGAACACTTTTTTGCGTACTGCAAGCCCTTTGGCACCTATCTATCTATCCATCTATCTATCTATCTATCTATCTATCTATCTATCTATCTATCTATCTATCTATCTATCTATCTATCTATCTATCTATCTATCTATCTATCTATCTATCTATCTATCTATCTATCTATCTATCTATCTATCTATCTATCTATCTATCTATCTATCTATCTATCTATCTATCTATCAACCTTTAGGGGGTGCTCTCATGATCCCCCCCTGATCTTAGGGTAGGTTAAAATTAGAACGGTAGATTAAGATGGTTTGACAACTAGAACGCGAATAATGTCACATGAATGTGCCATTATTCATTATTTATAAGTGTGTTGTGAATAATGTAAATTCTCGTTGGGTATGTCGTCAAACACTTTCCAAAAACAGTGGCGCATACCCGATGGCGGGTATGTGCCACTGGTATGCAGGTATGTGACACAGGGGATAGACATTTTATATCTGTCCATAAACAGCGAGAACAAGCGCAATTTCAATGCTCACACATTTAAAAAAAAGGTTAAGCATGCAAAGAATAAATCTCAGTGCCCCAGCAGAAACCGAACCCTAGCATTCTGCGTGGCCATAAAGTAACCTACCACAGCGCCACGCTAGGTCTCGGAAACTCGAATTCTTTCTTGATCGTACATAAATATCTGCTTCATGAGGTAATTATCTGCAGAAGCTTGATCAAATGTATGGTGCTTCTTAATGTGTGATACAATTTATCCGTTTTTTACCATGTTCTTGATCTATTACTAAAGCCTTATCTACTGAGGCAATCTGTGTCCTGCTTTCGTTTTTGTTTTGCTATGCCCATTTTTGTTTTGCTACCGGTGCTTTTAGGTTGTACACGAGGGACTATTGGTCAATTGCCAGCTCGTATTAAGTTCACTTGCTACGTGATGCCATACAGGCTCATAAAAAGAGTGTACCACACTCGCCACCATGACTACAGGTGGCGCTGACTGATGCTCCCACATTTAAATTCACGTATAAAGCCAATAAGGTGGCTCGGAAGATAGCTGCCGTGAAAGCTCAGTGGTAGAACATCGAACACGTTATTCGATCGTAGTAGGTTCGATTCCTCTTCACGTCAAGTTAACTTTTTACCCTCTTTTTTTTTCTTCTTATTTACATTATATTGGTTCTAAAAACTTGCCCTATACATTCCTTGGCATTATTGTGTGTTTGAACTCGTTATTATTTGTCAAAACACGCAAAAACGAGCCCTTAGGTATAAACTTCTTTCATTATATATATATATATATATATATATATATATATATATATATATATATATATATATATATATATATATATATATATATATATATATGCGTGTGTGTGTGTGTGCGTGTGTGTGTGTGTGTGTGTGTGTGTGTGCAATCGACGCCGCTCGCATAGCGCAGAGAACCCTACAATTTTTTCAACCTTTTTTTTCTGTTAACTTTTTGTTCTTTGTTCTCTCATTGTCCTTTTTTTTTTCTCAAATTTTTTTGCTTGAGATGATATCAATTAGAGAACGAATAGAAGTACCCTTATTTGTGCGGATGCGAGACTCTGGCTGAAACTGTCGAAATAAACGCTTTTGTTGTCAGCGATTTAATGAAAAATATACTTGATAGATATGTGTGGTTTAACGTACCAAAACCACCGTATAATTATGAGAGACGCCGTAGGGAAGGTCTGGAAATTTCGACCACCTCTGGTTCTTCAACCTGCACCCAAATCTGAGCACACGGGCCTAAAACATTTCCGCCTCCATCGGAAATGCAGCCGCCACAGCCGTGATTCGATCCCGCGACCGGCGGGTCAGCAGGCAATATATATATATATATATACATACCTCATTGAGATTTAACAGACAATAATGCCAATGAAGGTATAGGGGAAGTTATTGGGCCAATTGTAATGTAAATGGAAAGAAAGAAAAGTGGGTGAAAAGATAACTTGCCGTGGGCAGGATTCGAACCTGCGACCTTCGAATAACGCGTTCGATGCTCTACCACTGAGCTACCACGACAGCTATCCCCCCAGCAACTTTATTGGGTATCTATGCCAATTCAAACGTGGGAGTGTCAGTACGGGGGACTATTGGTCAATCGCGGTTGGTTTGTACGGCGCGTCGACGTCCAAGGTCGCAATGATCGACGTCCCTTCGACCAGCGCCGGCCAAAGTGTTGGCGGAACCGCAACAAAGTCGTCGTCCGAAGACAAGGCAGCGCGGAGAAGAGCTCGCGACGCCGAATGTAAACGTCGGCGTCGAGCGGAAGATTCTCAACTTAGAGAACGTGAAGCCGCTGAGAGACGTCAGCGTCGAGCAGCAGCACCGGATTCGGCCGCTTTGAAACGTAAGCGTCGACAAGAGGAGCCGGACTTTCGAAAACGGGAAGCCGAGTGCAAGCGTCGGCGACGAGAGGCCGATCCCGATGCTGCCCGCGAGCGCAAGCGCGCCGAGGTAGTGGCGTGGCGCGCCAAGCAGTATGCCACGCCCAATTAACACCCCGTTAACCAATTATATGCTCCGCATCCTCCTCAGTGTTCCCCCGAGGGAAGCTGCGGGCAATTTTTTTTGTTCGTTACAAACTGGTGGAGGTGCGGGGTATCATTCCAAGCCCATCTCAGCATAGGGAACATAGCCCAGAACCCCGAAGGTTGGAGCCAGCGCTGTTGACTCCAGTACACCAACGAACGAGTCGTCGCCTACGAGGTGAGCAGCCCGAGTTTGGTGCCCTCATCGATTCTTCGAGACCAGCGGAGGACGTAAGTTCCGGAGCCCCTGCAATGGCCACCCAAGCGACTTCATTTCCATCGCATATCGTTATGGACCCGCCCCGCATACCAGAGGTATTTCACGGTGATATTTTCGAGGATTCCGAGGACTGGCTCGACGGTTTCGAACGCGTTGCCACACTGAACGGTTGGAACGAAGACCGGAAATTTCGCTACGTCTACGTGGCACTGCAAGATTCTGCACGTACGTGGTTCGAAAACCATGAAGCGTCCTTATTATTGTGGGACGACTTTCGAAGAGAGTTTCTTGCTACGTACCCAAACACGGACCGCAAAGAAAAGGCAGAGGCCGCTCTTCAGACGCGAAACCAACGGAACAACGAGAGCGTCGCCATGTACATTGAAGACATGTCTCGACTGTTCCGCCGGGCCGACCAGAACATGGCTGAAGAAAAGAAGTTGCGGCACCTGATGCGTGGAGTGAAGAAGGAGCTTTTTGCAGGCCTGGTGCGTAATCCACCGCGCTCTCTTGCTGAGTTCAGATCAGAGGCGACCATGATAGAAAAGACCCTGCAGCAGCGCGCGCGCCAATACAACAGGGACGTAAGCGTCTCACCCGTTAGCGCGGCGTCGACAACCCTCACGAGTAACATTGATCTCTTGCGTGAAATGGTGAGGGCTGTCGTAAGGGAAGAACTGCAGAAAATACACATGACTCAAGCTCATCCAGCGATGTCTTCACTTGCCGACGTTGAGCGCGAAGAAGTGCGGCAAGCGGTTCTACAACCACAACCTCAGGTACTACAGCGCGCACAACCGGAGCCTCCGCCTCAGTTGTCGTACGCGCAAGCTGTACGACAGGACCTCGGACGCATGAATCAGACGGCTGCAACTGCTGTGATGCCTCCGACGTTTTCTCCGAGTACGCCACTACCAATCCCGGAAGCAAGAACACGTAAGAGCGATGTATGGCGCACTGTAGACCGGCGGCCCCTTTGCTACCACTGTGGAGAAGCAGGTCACCTTTACCGGGCGTGCCAGTATCGTCGAGCGGGACTGCGTGGTTTTCCAGCCAATGCACCATGCCCACGGAACGGTGAACGGCCCTACGAAATCGAAGAATACTTGTCTTCACGCTATTCACCTCAAGACACGCAACAACGCGAGTCGCGTTCGACAGCACC